TCTCCCTTCGTAATCGTAATCTCAATTTAACCTGTTGTCTCTGCTCTGTCTGAGTCTGGGAGCCGGATGCTGTGACACGCCTCGCCGGGGACTAGCCGGATTTGTCTCCCCTCATAATCTCAATGTACATCCGCTGTTGTCTCCGCTCTGTGTGAGTCTGGGAGCCGGATGCTGTGACGCGCCTCTCCTCGCCGGGACTTGACTCTAGGGTTTAAACCCCTAACCCTGAACCTTAACCTTAAATCCTAAACTGTTGACTCCGTCCTGTACAAAGTGTTGTAGTTTCGAGTTTGCTGTCTTGTTCGAAATTCATGCAACATCTTGATTGGTTTATTGCTGTTTGGGGTCTTCGCTGGTGTAATTTATATGCGGCCGGGGTTGGGACAAAGTCCACAACCGTCGCAGCCGGCCGCAGCATGCCGCTGACCGCGCACCGGATCAAACTGGAAAACAGCCCGTTCAACACAGCGGCACGTTCAAACTTCACAATCTGTTCATCAATCACGGCTCGGTCCTCCACCTGGCGCCGCTGCCCTCGCGAAGTACCCGGGTCGATCGTCGGTAGCGACCCGACGGCAACGCAGAAGGCGGATGCTGCAGAACACGCGGAAACTTGACGACCAAGATGGGATTAACGCTGTCGCGCTGCAAACCTTCCGACACAGCACCTGCGGCAAAAGGGGGAGTTCGTGTAGGGAAAGCAGCACCTCGCCCTTGAATGAGCAAAGCTGCTGACCCTTCTCATCTGTGCTTTAGGAATGAGTATAGGCCGCGTCAGATCCATGATGTCCTGCGAACCTGACATCACAGGTTGGTGTAATCAGAGGGGTTCCAGTTCCAGGCAGACGGGCTGAACACACTGGGTTCCCTGAGCTTCCAAAATTATGCCATTGTACGCCTCGACGCGGCGGCCAAGGTTCCCAGGAGAGCCTGGCAGCGCGACCCAAGGTGAAAGTGCAGCCCAAGAAGAAGATCATGAAGCCCGAGACCGACGAGGACAGCGAGCGGGGAGACCTTGTGTCAAACGGAGAGCGGCATTTCCACTTATGTTGCGGTCCCCAGTTCTTTGAGCAAGCCGCGCTGGAGATGGAAGAAGTCTACAGGGGACGTTGATGACAGTGCTGGAGCAGGGAATTCGTCTTCCCCCAGGAAACAATTTTTCTACAGGCGCACCACCATCTTCACCACATCTCGAGCACTGAACCAAGCCATTGACACCAGAAGACGTAGCATCACAGAAGCCGTGAAAAACCCAGCTCGAGCAAACACGACACGGCACCACGGAACACACTTCCTTCGATGAGCCTCGGAGCACGTGCAGCACCAATGTTGCTTCTGTCCGGCTGGGAATTTGTTATGATTTCAAGGACTGCTCTTAGGAGAAGGGATTCGGGAATCACCATCGCAAGATTTAACAGCATTGCAACGAGTGCTGAAGCGTCAGAGGCTTTGGGGCAAACAGGCTCCTCCTCAGATGAACGCTGGAAGTAGTGATGTTTCAGAGTCGATTTCATGGGAGAAGGTGTTTAAAGAGGTGAGTGGCAGGGTTTCCAAAGGGAGGCGGTGTTGCGTGAAGAAGGGGGTGAGATTCTGAAAAGCGTTCAACAGCTACTTCCAGAAGTGCAGGTTCGCCGGGTAGTCTGTTGTCACGACACCAAGTCGATTGTAGTCCGTAGGGATGACGGTAGGGTTGCGTTGGATGGGGCGCTGGAGGAATGGACCAAGCTGCCACGGTGTAAGGCATACAGAGTCTCAAGGTACTTATCCTGCGGGGAGGGGAAGGAGCGTATTCAAACAGCAACCGTTCGGAGTGCAAGGAGCGTATTCAATCGGCTACCCTGTTGGCCCTAGAGTTCACGTAAGTACTGACACTCTGCCCCCTGCAGAAGGTGAACTAGTTCCAGGCTTTCCCCGAGGACTATTCCCAAGAACGGGCCGGCTACCTTGAGCTCTTTCA